CCTCCTTTCCTATCACAATCCTCATTCTCACTAAATTTTGCCATTTTTAAAACTCTGCAAACCACAGATTTCCAGAATCAAGTAGAGAGCTCGACAAGTGGCCATCCAAGTTGTTTTTTTTTTTTTTTTTTTTTTAAATCCAAGGTTTTAAAAGATCACCCAATGATTCTTTCATGTAAACATGCTGGAGAGCCACTGATCTTAACAATCCAATAATCCACTGATAGTAAAATGCATTATTTATGTTAAGTATTACAATAAAAAATAAACAATAAAAACAAACTGCCTAAAAGGAACTGAAGTCTAATAAAAGAGCCCAAAATAATGCTGAGACATCAAGGAACCAAGTTCTCTTTAACTTATTGTAACTGGACAATTCATGATATAGAAAGAAGCATGCATCTATCAACTTTTGCCTTGTCAAAAGAAAATAAAATTAGAGCACCTTCTTATTAGCATGAACCACAAATAGTCACTCTTGCAGTTTTTTACTCTGAATTCATGTAACCAGAGTAATGCCAAAAACTTGAAAGACAATTTGGTTGAAAGTTAGCTCTTGTTTAAAAATGTCCCCAAGTGCCGGGGAAACAACAAATAACCTCTCAGAGAGAACCTAACTTCACTCCAGCGATGAAGCAATCCTAAAAGGCCAACAAACAACATGAGAAATCCAAACATCTATACGATGTTGTTTCATGGGTATATTACATATTAATTCACATACTCTCATAGTGGAATTGCTAACACCAACCCCATGCTACACATGAAGAAAACAAAGCTCAGGAGTGTGGCTGATTACATAACTATAAAATGTGAGAAGAGAGTAAAATTGGGCAGGTGAGGCCAGAGCCATGTCCCTAGCTTCTGCACTATGGACCTAAACCTATGATGTCAACATTAATGGGGTAGCCAAGTATAAAGAGTTAAAGATAAATTTAAAAGATTACAAGAAATTACCAAAGCTGCCTAAGCTGACATGACATCACTAGAGGAAATATAGATTTTTTTTTCCACAAATATCCAGGGACAGAAAACAACAAAACATCATTTAGAAGCTTGAGAAACCAATATCACATCAGAATTCAACAGTGAAAATGCAGAGAAAAAAAAAAAAAAAAACACATTTCCAATAAGTGAGATACGAGAAAAGATATCGCCAGTAGATAAACACCAAAGCAAAATATAGAAGTAAATCTCTAGTCTAAAAAAAGACACTAAATAAAACTCAGATCTAAACAAGTAAAAACTACTGAAGTAATAACATAAAACATAAACATAAAAGATTGTTTTCTTAATTTAAACACAGCGAGTACATTGTATAGCAGTGCTGAATGTATTATTCCTGTCTGCATGTGTAACACATGTCACAAGTACAGTCGGTGGCAAACGAAGCTGCAAAGATCTTAGCCTTATATTACACAGTACAGTATCAGTGTTGCTTGTTTGCTCATTTCACAGACTCCTGTATCAGAAGCTGGCCTCAAACATGTTATGTAGCAAAGATGACTGTGAACAACTCATCCCAATGTTGAGAATACAGGTGTGCACCTCTACACTCAGGTATACTGACAGTATTTGAAGAAAATTGTGATAACTTAAGAAAATATATTATAAACCCTAAGGCAGCTAGAGAAGAATACCGACCACTAAAACTTAACATAATTTAAATGAAATCTAAAAAATACTAATTTTTAAACTAAGAAAACATATTATAAACCCTATGGCAGTGACATAATAAAACCAGGATAAAACTAAAGAAAATATAAATGAATAGAGAAAATTATTTCATTTATCTAAAAGAATACGATAAAATAAAATTACTTTGAAAAAAATATATGTGACAAATGGAAAAAGTCAAAATAGAAGACTTAAACTCAATCATAGCAGCAATTAGACCACATATAAATTCAGCATCCAATTAAAAGACAAAAATTATTAAACTAGATAAAACAACACAACTAAATGTTTGTTGACCTACTTTAAATATAATGAAATTGGAACAGGCTAATATGAGAGGCCTGTGCTGTCACATGAGGCCATGGTGCAGTGTGCCTGTGCTGCTGCCAAAGGCCATGTGGCAGCAGAGTCTCTGTTGATGTTTAGAGCTCACGTCACTACCAACGGCCTGGTGGGCGACCGTGGTCTAGGCTGCCACTTGAGGCACGGTCTGAAGGCTGGGCTGAGCTGGCCTCTCACCAGCCACTGCACAGCTGCACCAGTGACGACATGGGTGCAGGAGCTGGCCCCAACCCTTGCCTGGGAAGCCTGGTGGCATGGATGCAGGGGAGCTGGCCCAGGAGTTGGCCCACCCTAACATCCACCCCATCTACGAGCTGCTGGAGTACGTGAAAGGGCCAGTCCTGGAGATCTAAAGCTGCAGGGTCTCCACGACTCAGGGAAACACAGGATATCCTAGAAGAGTCTTGACGAGGGTCAGTACATATAGTGTGGCAGAAGCCAGAGGCCTGGAACTAGACTAATGGCTCATTGCAATAAACACTGCAAGTAAAGCTATTTGGGAAAAAGAGTATACTGTGTGATATACCATGACATCCTGAAGCTTCGCTGGACAGAAAGTTTTTTGTTTTTTAATTTTAATTTTTTTATTTCCTTTTGGGAGGGAGTTACAAGGGTGGAAGGCAGATAAAGAAGAACTGAGAAATGAGTGGGATTGAGATACATAATATGAAATTCACAAAGAATCAATAAAAATATTATATATATATATATATATATATATAATGAAACTGATGTTTAATGGTGTGAGGTTGTGGCTCAATGAGCTTGCTTAACATGTACAAGGCCTTGGGTTTGGTCCAAGACTGAAAGGTGAAGTTAAAAGAAAGGATTTTTAACTTTCAGTTACATGAGAACCGAGTATTAAAGGGGTTGGGGATTTAGCTCAGTGGTAGAGCACTTGCCTAGCAAGCACAAGGCCCTGGGTTCGGTCCTCAGCTCTGGAAAAAAAAAAAAAGAGAGAGAGAGAACCGAGTATTAGTTGGAAGAATGGAACACCTGACAAAAGCAGCTTAATAGAAGATGCTTTACCCTGGAGGACATTCCTAGGGTACAGTCCACTATAATGGGAAGTCCTGGCTGCAGGAGCTAGAAGCAGCTGGCGCATAGAAACCACAGTGAGAAGGCAGAAAAAAATGAATGTCTATGGTAAGTTCACCTTCCCCTGCTCTTTCAGTCTGGGGCCCCAGAACATGCTGTGATACTGCCCACACTTACTGTGGGTCTCCCCACCTCCATTAGCCTAATCTGGCTCTTCTGGGAGGCTAGATTCTGCCTTGGCAGTCACTACTAACCAGCACAGCACAGACACAAGAGTCTCAGGTGGCTATGTCAGGATCAGGCTGACCTCACAATGACAAGCTTGTCAGAGACATGGAGGAACAATCCATAGCAGTAAATGAGTGAATTCACAAGGAAGATGTCCAACTCTAAACATGTTTATCCGACAAGAGAGCTTTCAACTATGTGAAGCAAAATCTAAACCTCCTTTTAGTTTCAAAATTATAGAATGATGAGACAGTAGACAATGAGTGATTTGAACAGTACTGTCAATAAACCTAATCTAAATAAAAAAGACAAGAGCATTAGCCTGTATTTTTAGTACAATTACTGAAGTACACTCAAACTATCCAAAACACACAGAACACTGACGAAGATGGAACATGCACTGACCCACAAAAGTCTCCAAACGTTAAATACACGATAAAACACACTCTCTACCCAACACATTTCAATAGAAACAAAACTGATTAAGTTCCTAGGAAAATCAACAATGTTTAGATATCGATCCTACTATATATATCCGTAAATAATAGGAGAAAAAGAAATTATAAATTAATTTAAACTTAATAACAATGAAAACCTAAAGAAAATCATAATTTATGGGATTCTAAGCAAATCCTACTGATAAAAGTACATCCTTAATTACTTATATTTTTAAAAGAAGAAAAATTGCAGGGAGTAGAGAGACGGCTCCATGACTAAGAGTGCTTACGGCTTCTGCAGAGGACCTAGGTTTGATTTCCTGGACTCACATGGTGGCTCAGAATCAGCTGTAACTCAGTTAGGGGGATCTGATAACCTCCTCTGGCTTCTGTGGACTCCTATACATACATACTGCATATAAATTCATACAGGGTCACATCCATACACAAAAAACTAATAAATAAATACCAACCTTAAAAAATAAAGTATTAAAACTCAGTAATCTAAGTGTTTACTAAAGATGTTAAAAAAAAGAACAGCAAATGAAGCCACAATATTCAAAAACAGAAAAATGATAAAAACCCAGAAAGCAATAAAATAGTAAACAGATGATGAATATAGATATTTTAAAAGCCAAAAGTTGGTTCTTTGAAGCACAGAATATAAACAATAGAGAATAAAAGAGAAAAATCAACAAAACTAATATTAGGAATAAAGAAGACATTGTCACATGCTGTAGCCTACTTTAAGATGTAATAAAGGAATACAATGACTAAATTTCACATATTGTACAATTTGTTTCTTTTCTCTAAGTTCTTTAAAGATTTCTAAACTGGGCTTTTGCCAAATGTTGAGAATGAATAAAATCTGCTGACTGGAGTGTTCCGACGGTGACTAACTTTGGAGATCCCATTTGTACAATGCAGGCAATTAACGCAGTTATTCTATATTTTCTGACAGTATTCAGCAACAGAGAAAAGAAAGGCTGGGATCAGACAAACAGAGGTCCCAGGGACAGAGGAATGTGTGCAGAGGGGCACTGGGTCACATAACTGTAACAACCAACAGGACTGGTGGAAAGAGGAGGAAATGCAGTCAGAGGCTTAGCAGCTGGAATAGTAGGAGGACTCAGGACAGTACCAGTCATTACACCTCCTACCTATCAAGTACATCCCTTTGTCAGATATGCTGGCTGCAAACTGTAACAATTCGTACATCATCAAACACATGAAACACAACCCTGCCGGAATAAATAATAGTTAATGCAACTTTCGTACCTGTCTCAGTAGTTTCTCAATGGCTGACATTACCATAAGGCCTCTCCAAACAACTGGCGCAGTCTCTTCAACCAAAAAGCCCATAGACATGCTGCAACAGAAATCCAAAAATGTAATTCATCAGTGCAGGTTGACAATATCTTTCTGAAAATACAAAATTTTAAAAATACACTCACCAAGCAATGCCATAATTCAAAAGAGGCCTCATTAGGTTGTCTAAAATAAGAGGGAAAACAATCTCTTTTAGAAGAGTACAGCACTGCATAAAAGCAGACTTTCCTCACTTTACACACACATGGTTTGCAGAATGGTTAAACTGGGCTAATTAACATATTCATTACCTCTTACGTTTATCATTTCTTTGTGGTACAAACACTTAAATCCACTTTTGGCAGTTTTGAAGTACATAATAATGGTGTACAACAGATCACAGAAACTACCCCCTTGCCTAAATGGTACCATGCATCCACTGATGAAGAAACCATGTACCGTCGGGTTAAAATCCTCCCTTTTCGTATTCTGCTCGGTGATGATTAGCTCCACTGGCACCTGGCTGGTTCGGATCGCCTAGGAGGCACTCCTCTGGCTGTGTCTAGGAGGGGGTTTCGGTGGGAGCTGAGGCACGATGGAAGACCCACCCTGCGTGTGGGCGGTGCGAACCCGGTACAAAGCTCCCAGATTAGATACAAAGGAGCGAGAACTGCCCTCTGACATCACCTGCTGCTCCGTGAGGAAGCACTGTCCTCAGCCACGCCACACTCAGGTTGCCACCCTTTCCTCCCCTCAGTGAACTAGACCTCCTACACTGTAGGCCAAAGAAACCTTTCCTCCTGTAAATTGCTGTTTGTCAGACATTCTATCACAGGAATAAGAAAATAACTAACACAATCCTCAGCCTCTCGTTAAACAGCATTAGGGGTTCGTCTCTCTCCCACACCAAACCTCTTTGACAGGTCTGGTCGTACCACACACATTGCGCCAGGGTGAGTCCACCTGATCCTACCGTTCACACACCCTCCCCAGGGCCTGGTTCTAACCCAGGTCCAGCAGCCTTGTGCCTCAGCCTAGTTTACCCTGACCATATACCCTTAACCGTATACCCTTGACCCATCCTCCTCTATTCAGAAAAGGTCACCCTCTTTGACTAGTGTGCAGCTTCAGGACAGACAAGACATGACAGAGACTGATTTAGGTACAAACCTTTAGACTCATTTAGACAGACTAGACAGTATTTTCTTCAAGGCTGCCAAATACAAATGAGCTAATATTTTACTTTTATATGTGGCCTTCCTGGTTGTTTCACAACTGTTCTTATTGTATGTAGTTTATTATAAATAAATAAAGTCCATGTGCAAAAAAAAAAAAATCCCAGATCAGAGATATGGACCAGATGTTCAATGAGAACATAGAAGAAAACTACACCAAACTAAGAAAAGACATACCCATACAAATACAAAAAGAACACAGAACACCAGATAGATGAGACAAGGAAAGAAATTCCCCACGGCATAACATAATTAAAACACTAAGTATCGATGACAACAAAAGAGTGCCGAATGCTGCAAGAGAAAAAATACAAGCCGCATAAAATGAAAACCCACCAGAATAAGATTTCTCAATGGAAACACTGAAAGACCACAACTGCCAACCTAAACTTCTGTACAAGCAAAAGTATCTCCAACAGTTAAAGGGGAAAGAAAAACATTCCAGTTACAAAAGAGTATAAAAAATTATATCCACCAAACTATGCTCTGAACACCCCACTTTTTCCAGTTTATAGGAAAACTGACAGAAGAACAAAGAGAATATCTTTTATTATTTAGCATTATTTTAGCTGTCCTGGTGTGGCTTTGTTTGTTTGTTTGTTTGTTTGTTTGTTTTTCAATATGAAGTTAAGAAGTAACCTTTCAAGGAAGGTCTGTAACGAACTGCATTGGAATTTTGCTGAAAAAATTACTGGAGGTATCACCATCCCTAAGTTTAAGCTGTACTACAGAGCTATAGTAATAAAAACTGCATGGTACTAGAATAAAAACAAAAAACAAAAAACCTGTTGATCAATGGAACTGAACTGAAGACACAGACATAAATTCACAAACTTATATAGACATCTGATTTTTTATAAAGAAGCCAGAAATACACACTGGAAAAAAAATAATCAACAAACAACACTAGTCAAAATGGATGTCTGCACGTAGAAGAATACAAATAGATCTATTTTTTTATCACCCTACCCAAAACTCATGTCCAAGTGGATCAAAGACCTCAACATAAAATCAGATACACTAAATCTAAGAGAAGAGAAAATAGGGAACAGCCGTGAATTCATTGGCACAAAAAGATTTTTCTGAACAGAACGCTTATACAGCCACTATGGAAATCCATATGGTGGTTCCTCAAGACACTGGGAATCAACCTATCTCAAGACCCAGCTATACCACTCCTGGACATAAACCCAAAAGATACTCCACCATACCACAAAGACACTTGTTCAACTATACTCACAGTGGCTTTATTTTAATAGCTCAAAACTGGAAACAACTTAGATATCCCTCAACTGAAATATGGATTTTAAAAATGTGGTGCTTTAACACAATGGCGTATTACTCAGTAGGGGAAAAAAATGCCGATTTCTCTACCCCACTTCAATCCAGACATTGATTGCATTGTGATGTTTATTCTAAGCATCATTTGTCTCAAGTCTGTGTAAACATGCCACCATTTGTTCTCTGTATTGTCAATAAAACAACCAGCCAATGCTGAGCAACAGAAAAAATAGAGTGGGGCATCCCAGTCTGGAGGGGAGGAGAAGGAAGTGAGTAGGAGGAGTCGGAGAAATTGGCAGGAAAGGACTTAGAACCAGGAGGAGAGATGAACCACACCTAAGATATGACTAAAAGCAAGTATAATGGGGAAAATCTGAATGGGAGGAAACTATGCGGGCTTGGAGGTTTAGGCTGGAGTAACTATTGCCTAGCATTGTGCTCTACATTAATTAAATAAATCGTAGTCTCTGTGTGGTGATTTGGGTGTACAGCTGGTTTAGGAATAACCACTGTTTAACTGAAAGATAAATAAATAATAAATATTAATAATCAACAAGAGACAGCTGGCATTGGGGAGTGGAAACCTAGTACAATGGAAACATCCTGGAATCTGTAAGGATGACCCTAGAGAGGACTCCTAGCAACAGAGGATACAGAGTCTGAACTGGACGTCATTTGTAGCCAGGCAAAGCTTCCAGTGATGGGGATGGGTTTCATCACACTGACTTGTAGGCCAATGGAGATCCCTGAACAACCCAGGTTGATGCAAGAAATGGTCACTCTCTGAAAACTGACAGTGGGGTCCTAATGCCACACAGCTCACTGAACATAGAAAGGTCAAGCTGGTACAGGCTTGACCTATGCTCACCCCTATGCTCTATTCTCTTTAGTGCAGGAAGGTACTCTGTAGGCTACAGGAAAAGAAACCTGGACACCAACCCAACCACAACACCCTCCACCTACAACCTGTCCTACGTGCAATATGTGCTCAGGCAATGGTGGTACAGAACCTGTGGGAGTGGCCAACCAACATGTGGTTTAACTCGAGTCCCATGCCACGCCTAATGCCTGACACTGCCTGGATGGACAGGAACTGGAGACTGAATATCCCAGAGACCTAGGGTAATCCAAACACAACTGACAAAAAAAAGAAAGAAAGAAAAAATCAGTGAAATGATCCTAATGATGTCCTACTGTATTCACAGATCAGTACCTTGTCCAGTCATCATCACAGAGGCAGCATATGGGAGCAGGTACAGAGACCCACAGCCACACACAATCTAGAGAGAGCCTAAAGGGAGGAGTTCATCAGGTCCCTCCTGTAGGAGATGGGAGAACCCCCACAGAAGAGTGTGAAGAAAGATTGTAGTAGTCAAAGGAAATGGAGGACACCAGAAGAACATGGCCCCTCAAGTCAACAAAGCAGGACTCACATAGGCTCACAGAGACTGACACAGCAAGCATGAGGTCAGCACAGGTCTGGGCCAGGTCCTCTGTGTATGCTATGGCTGTGAGCTTGGTGTCTTTATGGGACTCCTAACAGTGGTAGCAGGTGTATCTCAGACTCTTTTGCTCTTAAAACGCTTTTCCTCCCATTAGGTTGCCTTGTCCAGTTTCAGTAGGAGAGCTTTTGCACTGTTCTACTGTAGCTTGTTTTGTCCTGTTTGGCTGTTGTCTTTTGGAGGCCTGTTCTTCTCTGAAGAGGAAACAGACAGGGAGTGGATCTAGAGGAGAGGGAGGTGTGAGGAGAGCTAAGAGAAGGGAGTGGAAACTGTGGTTGGGGTGTATGACAAAAGAATGTATTTTTAATTTTAAAAAGTAACAAATAGACATCATAACAAATAGACAGACAATAGACAGACAGACAGACAGACAGATAGATAGATAGATAGATAGATAGATGACATCTTACTTCAAATGGACAAACCACTATCCATAGGATATTTCCATCCAAATACCAAAGAATGTACATTTCTCTCAGTATACAACTGAAGCTTTTTTTTTTAAAATAGGCCACATTCTGGGACACAAAACAAGCTTAACAAATTCAGGAAAAGTAAAATTATCCCATATATCCTAGCTGGTCATTATGTTATAAAATTTAAAATTGAAGGCAAACAAATCTCCATGAAGTTCAAAACCTCACAGAGATAAAACAACATGTTACTAAATACTGAGTGAATGGGTTGGGGGTGGGGAACCTTCCTGAAAGTAAATGAAAATGAAAACGCAGAGCGCATGTAAGTGCATGTGCTCACACACACACACATGATCATCTTAGTTACTTTTCTATTGCGTGAACAGACATAATGATCACGGCAACTTATAGGAGAACAAAGTTTATTAGGCTTATGTTTCAAAGAGTGAGTCCATGAGCACCATGGCAGGAAGAGGGGCAGCAGGAAGCCAGGCATCACACTGGGAGCAGCTGCCGTCTCACATGCTTATCAGCAATAGGAGACAGAGGAACTAACTGTGAATGACATGGGCTTTAGAGACCTCAAAGCCTGCTCCAATAATACACTTCCTCCAACAAGGCCACCCTGCCTAATCCTTTCCAAACAGTTCCAGCAACTGTGGTCAACTATTCAGATATGTGAGCCAGAGAGGACCACCATGATGATGGAACTCAAGAATTTGAAAAAAAACAAAAATAACTGAAACCCAAAT